AGCTCTGAAAATCATTTAAATTACCGTGAATCATTCCTCCTACTGTATTCCATTATGAAGCTATAAAAACATCAATAGAAAAGGCAGCTTGAGCATTACATCAGGGAATTAATCATTACCCCATATACTTTGTGATAACACATTCAACATACAGGAGGAGCACAGTGTCAAAATCGACATGTATCAGTACTTCCATCCAAAATCCTGCTAACACTGCCTTTCCTGATAGTCATTTCAAGCAGATAAAGTGGGAGGACTACAGATGTATTTTTTAAAAATCACTTTTCAAAGTTGTATAGAAACAGAATTCACTTGGAGGAGCAGTCACAGACTTTAGTTTGTTGAATGTGAATAAAGAGCTTGGTACAAGTTTTTCAAACTTTGTCAGTTCGGTATGGCTTCCTCTGAAGAACGAAGCATCTTTGAGATGTTTCAACTGTGCTGGTGTCAGAAGGAAAGGCATATGTATCCCATCAGCCTTGGTGCTGAGCATTGTCACAGCAAACTGAGTTGCATGAACTTATGTGACTTAATGCAAAGGGGATTTCAGAGATGTTAAAATATGAAAATGTGTGTATCTTGGAACTGACATAATATGAAATTTAAATAATTCTGGTGCTTTGTACTGCATCCCATACAATAATAACAAAAGCCCTGGAGGACACAGCCTACTAGCCTTGAATTTGATTTCTGTTGGGACAATCTTCTGTTTTTTTTCAAGATTCACAGTTGAGGCAGGTTTGGAAACAATCCAAATCAGCTGCCAAATATAAGCCTAGATTTCCTGTTGTAACTTTCTGAAGAGCCTCAGAGGTTGGGTTACCAGCTAAACTATAGGAAGCCCAGTTAAAATTGAATCTCAGATAGACTATTTTATTTGTTAAATCTAGCAGCCATGCTCCCAGGGTATTTTTTATTGCATTTGACTTTCACCACATGCTTTTACTGTAGAACCTTAACTTTTTACCTCTGAGAAGCCTCTGTTAACACCTGTTAATCACTTATAACAGCCCTGAGACCTAGGAATTATTATGGGTCATTTTAGAGACAAAAGACCTAAATTTCCTCCTCCAATGCAGGCATCTCTATAATCTGTACAAATCTGAATTTGATCATAACTTTAAGGTACAGGTCATTAGGGAACGATAAGAAATAAGAGTCCTTTTAGGTCTGGAAACAACTCTGTGGGGTGGTGAGGGTTCACTGTCATGGGGATGGTGTTTCTAGCCTACAAATAATAGCAATGATAGTAGTTGCCAGCGACAACAGCAGACACAAAGCATTGCTGTCAGGTCTGTTCCTTCTCATTTACTGCTTCTCTTTCATAGAGAGGGAAACTGAGGCAGAAGGAAGGTAAGGATCCACTCTTCTTGCTGTTGAATTGTAGACTACGCCTCATCTTCTTGGAGAGCTCTTATTGGATACGTCTTACATAACCCTTTTTCCCCCATTACCCTTTATCACACACTGTTTCCTAGTGAAATTGAGGTGATTCTCAAAAGCCTTTCCAACTGTGTGAGCCTGGTCCAGCACGCTTAACCACTTGGTAATCGTATTTCATTAGGAATCAACAATTTGGTGTCTTTCTTCTTATGTGAGTGCGTGCTGACTGCAGTAAAGGGCAATGTCTGGTTGAGTGCCAGGCCAGGCCTCTGGCACGGCAGGGATAAACTAAATATCTGGTGTGTTAAAAATAAGTCTCCACCTTCCCCCCTGGCAGTCTAATCTACAAGGTTCATTTAAAAGTGAAACTCCTCCATTAAAGTTTACCCTAGGCAAATGGTGCCTCCTGGATAATCACCCATTAAGATCTTTGGGACATTTCTTTTTAGCCAGGAAATGGGTTACAGCTTTCAGCTTCTTAGGTGGCTTTGGGGAAATAGAACTTTCTTGTAAAGTAAGCAGGTTTAACTTCCTAGTCAGCTGATGGCTTTTCTAGGACACAAATCTTGGCCACTTGGGCCTTTCCCAGTCTCTCATTCAAAGGGCAGCATTTTAGCGCTGTTGAGACAAACTTTGGGGCCCACCCAGATATCTCTTTGATCTTCAGTCAGCAGAAGGAAAGCAACTCTCTAGCAGCATTTGCAAAGAGCTGATGTGGTACACTTGAAAGGGTTTCAAGCAGTAGGCTTTATGGTAAGTAAGTATATTACATGGGCCTTCTGCATCTGTGGACTCAACCAACTGTGGGTGGAAAATAGTGGTATCCATACTGAATATGTACATGTACAGACCTTTTGCCTGTCCTTATTTCTTCAACAATACAGGATAACACCCATTTCATGGTTTTACATTGTATTAGGTATTGTAAGTAATCTAGAGATGATGTAAAGTATACCAGAAGATGTGCATAGGTTGTATGCAAACACAACATGATTCTATGTAAGGGGCTTGAGCATTATGGAATTCAAGGCAGAGGTCCTGAAACCAATCCCCCAGGGATACAGGATGACTAGGTCCATCCTGCCCACAACACAGTGCTTCTCTCAAGTGAATGTAACTTGGAAGTGGCCAAGAAATTTTGTTTTAAGTCGCTGAATCCATTCACTCAGAAAGTGTCCTAGATGATTTCTGTAGGCATTCAGGGGTAAGCTGTCCTAAAGGAAACCACAACTTTCCATCTGGGGATTTTAGGGGGGAAATCTTAAGTTTTAAAAACCACGTAAAACAGAGTTTTGCAAATACAATTAGCTTTTGTTTTATTGATTTCCTAGTTCTTATAAACAACTTCAAAGCGTTGACATAGTGTTGCCATCTGCAAGGCATATGACAACAACAGACGGCCGCCTAATAACCAGGAAGGCATTAATGTTCACAGGCTCTAAATTATTTGGATTCATCTGGCATGATCTCTGTTGGTGAGGCTACTTAATGCTTGATTTCTGTGTCTTCGATGGCAGTACCACAAGTGGGAAGACCATGTTTTCTGGGTCTTGCACTATTCTTTGTCATCTCGTTGAATTGTTACAAGATGGATTTATAAGAGACCTAAAGGTAGTATCAAAATGAAAATTAGTTCTTGAGTAGAATAGCAATCCCAATTGACTTGCCTGTAGCAACTGCGTCATATCTGCCTCTGCGAGGAAGGAAATGACTTCTTAATGTGGTTTTCTTCCACTAAGGAGAATTAAATCTATGTGGCAAAATGTAAAACCAGTGTGCTGGCAGCCAAATTCTGAAAGGAAGATCCATAACCCTCATAAACATATTTGTGGCCCAGTTATATGCTAATGAACCTCATTTAAGCTCAACGTACTCAGTGTGGAAATGTAGCTCAGCTGGAGAGCGAGGCTGTGGTTCCCTCACTGTTTTGCCTTCTGTATCAACGTTTTCTTGGAAATAAATGGGGAAATTTCTGCATATCCTGCAAGCTGTCAGGATAAGGACAACTGGGTTAGATTGAGGGTATTTAGGGTCTGAGATAGCAAGCCTCACTATTTTAGCTGATAGATTTTACTGAAATTAGCAAGCTTAGTCTCAAATGATATGACTTCTGGGCGAGTATGTGGTAGAGTGAGACCACATTTGTGGAATTATCCACTTTCTATGTAGATCCTCCGGGTCTACATAAGGCAAAAGCTTTTGGTAACAACCCTCACCCTACCATCACCTACCTGGTAAACCTCCTTGGAAAATGAGGTTGAGTAGCACCCACCTTGTGGGTTACCAAAAGGACTAAATGAAGTAGTGCACATCGAAGAAACTGCCTTCCCATCATAAATGTTAGTCATTGGTGGTGGTGCTGAGGCAGGTTAAGGTTAGGGAAAGTTTGGGACTACTCCCCCTCCCAAGTCAAGGAGCTCCTCCCCCTGACCCACAGGTTGGAGGAGCCAGGTAATGCCGTATTCTCTCCCCACCACGTTCAAGGTGGTATAGAACAACCTAGCAAAAGACCCCAGCCCTCTCTTTTTTTCTTCTTGCACCGCACTGGCTCCTTACAGATGTAAGGGATGGACACTTCCCTTTCCCTTAATAAAACTTTTCTACCTCACCATACCCACATGTTCTGCTTGGATTCTTGCACACCAGAGCACAAGAACCGAGGTCTTCTGAAACACCATTTGCCATTAACAGTACTATTAAATCATTTATCTCGGTCATCTTAATACAAACTACTACCCTATGCATTCAGTGAGCCACTCTTACCTTCAGTATTTTACGATGTAGAAAGTCACACAGGAAGGACAAATTTTCATAATGAAACTTAATTGCAATAAGAGATGGGGGGGCAACTGAACTTTTCTAAAAAAGGGAATTCCAAAAACCTACTCTGATAGAATTGAAATTTTATTTACTCTATATGTAAATCTGAAACATATAAAAGACTTATTAAACTATTAATAGGGATTCTATGGAGGAACTCATTTACTGAGACCAACTGTTAATTTTTTGTTTTCTCATTTAATTTCTTTTATTGATTGCCTTCTTATAGCTTCTTTGAATGGATATACTCATTTTTCACTCAGTATTCGTGACCCCTATATTCTTATTATTATAAATTTGCTTGTCCTATTTTATTTCCCAGAACAAAATTGCTCATGTAAGAAAGGCTAAGCCAGAGAGTGGTAGGTAAACCACAGGCCAGCTTGGAGGACTGAACTTGGACAGGTGGCAAATTCACACCTGTGGAGTCTGGGAAGTAAACTAAATGAAAGTGCCTGCCAAGCAGGAAAGTGTGGGGATTGTGGGGAATGGCAGAATGTTCCCCACAACAGTCCGCCCAGCCTGGCTAAGCAGACAATTATAAGGCAGCAAAAGGTCACAGTGTAGGCTAATCTGATTTTTTTTTTTTTTTAGAGAAGATGGAAATGTTAATACTTATGTGAAACTTTTTGTTCTAAAATTTGGGCAGTTAATGCAATTAAGATACACACATGCATTCTTAAATACCAGTTTCTAATCTGCAAATTACATACATTCAGTCTTCTCCCTTCCCCCAACATTTGCTCAAAGAGATCTCCAGGACTCATTAATAAGCCTATTCTGTTTTTTCTCCAAAGCTCCAGAAGCATGACAAAGAGGAAGAGGACTCCCCAGCCTCTTGGAGATCAGAAGAGGAGATGGCAGCAGAAGCTGCAACGCTGAGGGTCTATTTCCAGTGACACAGGTGATAGACTTATATACTTCACCCTCAACCAGACCCTTCAAAAGGTCTCAGGAAAGGGGCCTGGAAAAAGTACCATTGCCTTTATTGTTCGGGTAGGCAGCTAGGTAGGCAGGAGCAAGAACCAGGAAATGCCCCAAATCACAAGATTCCATTCTAAAATCCCAGATGGCCAACACCCTGGGCTAATGATTAAGATAATGGCCCTAAGGAGCCCACTGCTCCTACCAAGGTTAAACAGGGAAAAGCAAAGAGAATCAAATGTGCAGGGACTAGTCGCCTTCCCATATCCATCCTCAGAGCAGTAGCCAAACCATAGGAGGAGGGCTACAACTGGAAGACCCTGACTTCACATCACCTAGTAATCCCACCCTATTGGACAAAACCCAGACCTCCACAGCTTCCACACAATTGGCCCTTACCTGATCTGCCTACCCTACCCCTTGAGGTGTAATTCAGCATTGCCAGTAAGTCACCCATTACTCTTTGTATTCTTCTTAGTCTTTTGCTATATCTTAGGCATTGTTCCCAAAACAGGAAGATCAGGAACACCCTAACCTCTAGAAACAACATCTTCTTTAGGTGGCTGCAAAAGTCATACAAATCAGAATGGAAAAAACCCTGGTCCTTGACAACTTTATTCCTAACTGCCCTCCTTGTGCACCCCACCAACCCCCAACCAATTGCCTCTCCCCTCCAGGATGGCTTCTCTCCTGTATCCACAAATCGTATGGTTAGTAATGCAAAACTGATTTTTTTGAAAGGTCAAGGCACTACCCTGAGGCTTTGTACCAGATTCTTTGTCCCTCTCGTGGCTTTCTTTCTACTATTTCAGCTCTTACTGCACTCTGGGACTTCTCTCTTCAGTTGTTATTTGATAAATAACCCTTTGTGTTTCATTTTTGCTTTGGCTACTGGGAAGCTCGGGTCACTGGGAAAGGTCAGCACTTGATTTCTCTTTGTGTTAATGATGTTTAACTGTTGGGAGGTGGTAGGTTTAAGACGGGGAGAAATACAGGGACACACAATCTCCTTTTCAAAATGGATCTATAAACCAAATTTTTATACAATGTTAGGGGTTCATGAATAAGGTTGCCATGTAATATTGGGACATACTTAGATTGAAAACTTATTATTTGAAATGCTAACTTAACTGGGTGGAATTTAGATAGTTCTAAATTAGAATTAGCTACTTCTTCATCTGGTCTGTTTATATTATAAGTTGCCAAAGATGTTACCTTACCTAGGGGTTTGCTGCCCCTAGTTTCATTTACACACGGACCTCAATGCCAATTCACAAATAAGGAGAGTAGGGTTTTGAGGAAAATGAAATAAAATCTATTATTCATCAAATGAAGAGGAAGACAGTGAGAGTCAACCTCTCAAACTCTGAGAGAAAATATCCTTTTTTTAAAGGGGAGTTGAGGGGCTCAGTTCAAGTACCTGACAAAAATGCATGTCCTACAGTAGGTGCTGGCCTTGGTTTTCCAGGTTCTCTGGCACCCCATCTCCAAAGCTGGATGTTTTGGCTGAAGTTTTACTTGTCTGGTGTCAGAGAGAGATAAGGGGTAGAAGACTGCCTGGTTTAATTGAAGAGTAAAAAGTGTTAACCATGGGCTCTCCAGCATGTAGAGAAAGGGAAAAAAAATGTCAGTTTGATTAAGCAGAATAAACTGGCCAGCATACAAACTGGCTGCACCAAAAAATTTTCCCTTTTATAATTCTATTTACATTTTCCCTACTATCAATCTATTCCTTCATTTTTTTTTGAAAAGAGGCATCTCAATCATCTGTTTCCTGCCTTTAGAAGAGTCAGCCTCTGTTATATGTTCCCTCAACTTCTGTTCAAAGTGTTACACAGAAAATTCCAAAGATAATTCCTATACCTCAGTAGCTGTCTGGTGATAAGGTAGACTGGTATCTTCAATTGTGTCCAAGTAACCTGAGTTTACTTAAAAATGCCCCTAGCTGGGCATCAGAGCTCATGCCTATAATCCTCTGTACTTGAGAGGATTGCTGTTTGAGGCCAGCCCAGGCAAATAGTTTGCGAGACCCCCATGTCCAAAATAACAGAGAAAAATGGACTGGAGGTGCTCAAATGGTAGAGCATTTGCTTTTTAAGCACGAAGCCCTGAGTTCAAACCCCATTCCCACCAAAAAGAAAAACGTGGTCCCAAACGCAAGAGGAGGGAAACTGTAGAGTCCTCCAGTTTACATTATCATAAGACCAAAAGTAAGTCCAGAACAACAGGGATATTTTGAGAGGACCACATTCACGAACTTCTAGCACAGTCTATTCTTACAATTGCTCTGTTTATCATTGTTGTTGTTAATCCCTTCCTGTGCCTAATTTATAAAGTGAACTCCATTGTAGGTACATATGAATAGAATGAGATACAGTATATATGGGGTCCAATACTATGTCTGGTTTCATGCATCCACTGGAAGTCTTGGAATGTAAATCTTCTGAATAAAGTGGAAACTAGTCTACTTCTTGTTCACTTTGAAATGTAAGTCATTATTAGCTTAAAATATATGTGCATTTTTTAGCCTTTCTTCCCAATCCCCCTTCTAAAGTACATTATTATTTAATTACCCCAGTACTTGCCTCCCACTATTGTTCAAGGTAGCTGTTGTGCTCAGGCACTTGGATCTAGAAAGCTCATTTCATTCTCTATGTCATCTGTGTGTCAGCTCTGTACTTGGTGGCCTGAAGGGATATAGCATGGTATAGCAGAAGCTGTCTTTCTTATTTTATTTTTAACCTTTTCTACTGTTCACCTATCTCTGTCGGAAAAGAAAGGATTGATAAGATGAACGTAGTCCTATGGGTATGACTCCAAACCTGTTTCTATTCTATTCCTCTTCCAAAAGCCTGTGTGTCATTTTGGAGGACCCTCTTCAAATATGGGGCAGGTGGGGGTGTGAGGGTCCTAAATTCTCAGACTTGACTTCCTTGGTTGAAATTTTTTGCTGAGTTTCCTATACAAAGAGTATCTTCAGGTACAGGCAAGAAAGCTGTAGGCTTTTCCTAAGGCTTGCTGAATTATAAGGGTCTATTTTAAAATACATTTCCTAAAAGGTTTAAATTTATAACCCAAGATTCCAGTATACTTTACTTTGTTAGTTTTTGCTTCTATCTTGCCTTGAGCTCTGACATCTCCTCTCTTCTTGGTAAATTCACTTGCCTTATAAGTCTTGCCAGAAAGACATTCACCTTAGAAATTATATAAACCATTGCCACCATCCCTGTGTTTTTTAGGTTTGCATCTGTCTTCAAGGGGATTTGCTTACAGATTAAAAAAAAAAAAAGTCATCTCCTATGCAGTCAGGTGGGGGAAACAGAGACTAGCAGAATAACTTGGAGACAAGGGACTTAAATTAGGGTCCTTACATTTTACCAAGAGTCTCATCATTATCTGTAATACAATGGGACCTAATATACTTCTCTTCAAAAACAATAAGTGATAGAAATGTTCTCTTTTTTTAGGAAAGTTCATCCTTCAGTTAGTCTATTGGGTTTTTTTGACACCTACCCTCTCCCTTTTCAAAATGTATCCAGACACTGAATTTTTATATAATATTAAGCAATTCATGGAACTTCTGAACTTCAAATGGACTTGGCCTTTCCCAGTATTCCTGGGAATTCCTCAGCAGCACATCAGTCTTGGGCAGAGTGACCCAGTAACTACACAATTGTTAAAATGTACATGTGACATGATGGGCACAGTCCTGGGAGAGATGACAATAGCCAGTGTTTACTGAGTTTATAAGAATAGGTTCTATTATTATCCTGTCCATCAGGTGATGAGAAAACCAAGACTCAGTCACAATAAGTCAAGAGCTATTTCGAGGTCAGCAGTTGACAGGTGATGATGATTTAAACACATGCATTTTCCTGGTCTTTGTACAGTTCACTTTGCTAAAAAGAGCTTATTCGCCTGCCCCAGCCCCTCTGGTGGGCTTCCTTATTAATCTCACTCTGTCTAGCACCTGCCTCCCTGAAACTCTATATCCTGGTAGAAGCAGCCAAAATGGGTCCCAGTCTTATGCTTCCTACCAGACTGCCTTGTTCCCTCTTTCTCTACTATCTGACCGTATGCACAAGTACAATGACCTTGGACCGGTGCAATATTTCTGAAATTTCATGCATTACTAGTTGGTCACAAATTTTCTTATCTTTATGTACCACCTAGGGCATTACTTACTTATTATTTCCTTGATTCACTTTTAAAAAATTCAGTACATTTATCTTAAAATGTATCTTAGCCTCAGTAAAAAGAAAGTACCATTTGTAATTAGAAGTTAAACCTAAAAATAGATAAAAAGAAAAACAGTGCTGATAAAATGCCAGCTCTACATAGTTACTTGCCTATTAAGCTACTCTCTGTGTTAGAAAGTGAGGCCAGTCACTGTTAGCATTTAGTTCTAGCACCAAACAGAGACTCTGTATTTTTATGGTTAAAAGAGAATAACCTACTCAGTGTTTCAGTGGAGATCTCTTAAAATGATCTTAAACGGCTATGTGATTCCCACCTTTGGAGAAATAGCTGTGGAGGACAGAATTCAAACCCAGAGCAAGCTTGACACCAGACCTATTCCAACCACTAAGCCAATACTTCCTCCTGCACCTGGGGAAAATAAAGCACAGACTCAGCTTCCCCATAGTTTTTGGGTCAATGTTTTGTATCTGACTGGAGGACACCAGGCACGAAGCCATACATACTACCCTACCACGTCCCAAGGGCACACTTAGTCCCTGGGCTGACTCCTTCTCCTAGAAGACTTGCTCCCAGGGTTTGCCCAAAGGCTGCCTTACCAACCAAAGGATGGCAGAAAAAAAAATTAACATCTATAGCCACGATGTCCTATATGGGTAAAAGGATTGTAACAGGCAAAATGCCATCCTCTAATGGATGCTTGGTTTGCATGTACTTAGCAATTCCTTGAAATAGAAATTCCTGTTCTATATATTCTTTATATGTAAACCCAGCTTAATCCTC